TGGTGGTGTTCGTTTTCACTTTTGCTGTGTGAAGTAGATTACCGGGAGGCGTGGGGGGTCGGCTTGTTTGAGGAAAGGCTGCAGGACAACAGCAAAATCCTTCCTGAAGAAGCGATCGCTGTGCAGCAGCTTCTCGAGTCTCCTCTGCAAGAGGAAAAACAAAAAACAAAAAAATTGCAAAATTTCAATCATTCAGAAAGTAATTCTTCTGATTTCAAAAACAAGCATCCACCCACTAGGAAAGATCTGCGACTGCGAAATAGCACAAAAGCACCCATTAGCTTCTATGCTGTTACTTATAAAAGATAAACGCAGGACTCATGAATACCTACTCTATTTGTTATTTATTTCTAATGCTAATCTAAAGTCTGTGTTTCTAATTCAGGGCTAACAAAACTGTAATAAATGTCAATGCAAAACAATAATACTGTTTAGCACAGTGAGAGTAATAAGTGGCACCTGGAACTCCAGATTGACCTTAACCACCTCCTCAAGTTCAGGAGACTCGGACAGTGGCTCAATCAGGCACGGGCAGAAGGACCTGGAACAGATAAAAACTGGGCTAACAAACCAAAACAACACCGTAAATATCTACTCAGTAAAAAAAAAAAAATGTTATGGACACTTCAAAACCTAAATCTTTAGTTTTATTAGACACACAAAGAGCAAAGCTTTGCATATCGTGTCCAAAGATCAACTAGGAAGAGCATCAACTAAAATGCTCAACTCAGTGAGACATGCTGTTATTTACTGGTGAAAATCAAATACATTTTGATCAGAAAAGGAACTTTCATCAGTCATGAAGTACCCAGCAGGAGTACTTTATGACTATCTGTCAAAGGTTACAGATTGCCTGACTAATGTGAAGTCTATAAACAAAACCGATGCCATAACCTTCCTATCCACTTTGTTTAAGCTTGTAAGAAATTTACAAGCTTAAACATAGTTGTGTAAAGTCTTAGAAAGTTTTATTAAATATTGTTATAACAAGGAGAGCTTTGTCATACAAGCAATTTCACCGTTCTTCATATCATAAGACGTAAAGTTCAGTTAAAGTCGTTTGTTTGCTAACACAGAGCAAGATTCTTACATTTTTTAAGAGTTGAGGTCTAGACCATTCCAGAGGCTTAATGCAAGACAACTTTATCCATTCAAGCAACATTTTACATGTGTGTTTGGGATCATTGTCCGGTTATGTCACGACCTATGGCGTTGCTTCAAGAATAAGACCAAAGCTCAGATCAATAACATTTGGTTAGGTCATTCAAGAACAGCCCAGAAACCACTGAGACTCAAGTTTACCAGTTTCTCCAACATCACCGCCTTCAAATAAACGACTGCAATGTGCAGCAACCTGCCAAGACTGAGCCGTTTGGCCTCAGCAGCAGTATGATGAATGGTCGGAGTCCAGCTGAGTCAAAACTACATGTTGCTTACAATCAAATCGCTGGAGCTGCGTCACATATTGTCAGCGATTGAAATAAAAATCACAAAAAGATCAGAACTGTTACTACGGGGATCACTGCAGGCTCACCGCTGCAGACTGCACCCCGGGGTAGGCTTCCGCACCTCCTTCAGAAAATGCATTTGCAAAATCTGCACCACGTTGACGATCATACGGGGAACCTGAAACACAGCATGGAGACTCACTAGACCCTCGCTCCCAAAGAAATGATGGGCGCATCACGTCCCTCTTTTTGGTTTTGGCTTCACCTCATTCATAAGCATTTCTAGAGAGAGGGTCATGAATTGAATGAAGTTATCCGCCGTATACAAAGCCTAGGCAGAAAAAAGGGAGAAATAATTCAGCAAAAAAAAAAAAAGCTTTTACTTTAAACTAAATTCAGCAAACAGATCATTTAAAAAAAAGCACTCACCTTATCTTTACAGTAATCACAAATGTCATTCATGCCTATGAGGATTGTCAGAAGCTTCCAGTCTTTGTCAAAGTTAAGACCCTAAAGTGGAGCAAAATGCAATCTAAAACATAAAAGGCTATCCTAAAGCTTTCTCTCTTTTGTGTGTGTGTTTTTTTGTACCCAAACTACCTCATGTTGTCTCATTGTGTCAATTAGTTTTCTTGTCTGATCTGGGAGGTTGCTAGGAAAAAAAAAAAAAATCAGATTTCAATACAATTACAGATCTCAGTTCTTTTAAATCACAGAAACTGATGCCTTCACTAAGGCAGACCAGCATCTGTTAAGAGTGACGAGGTCTTACAAGGTGTTTTCTCCGGTCACGGCCAGATTAAAGCCGGTTTCGCTAATATGAGCCTCCATCCCGTGGACAGTCGTCCCAGGAGAAGCGCCGAGCAGAGTGGGGTTGAATAATTTGATGATGTCTGAAACGCAAAGTTAGGAATAAGTTAAGAAAAGCCGTGGTATCAAACTGATCTGACAAGAGACGATGGTAAGAAACAGCATCTTACTCGCCAGAGTTATGACGTCTTGAAAAGTGCCATAGCCTCCAATACTTCAGAGGGTACCGGTGTATTATTAGTGCAACAGAAATATGAGGAGTTGATATTCAGGACCGTAAAAGCAAACATATTCTGATTGTGAGGGTAAATCTCACCTCCACGACACATGGCGAAACTCTACTGGGATTCCAAGCACAGTGGTGGCATTGGCACCTAAGGCTGTCTGAAAAACAAAATGGTAGGTTATTCCAGTTACGTTGATGGATTCATTCATATCTTGATGTTTAGCAAAAGTTTCAGTGTTCATACAAGGCAGGTTTATTTCAGATTTTAGATATACGCTTGTTGGGGCGTCAAAACAAAAGTACCTACAGTCACGGAATCCCCCAAGGCGGCGATGACTTTTATATCCGCTGCCTTCACAAATTCAACTACAGCGAAAAGTTGAAAGAGAGAGAGAGAGAGAGAGAGGGAGTCAGTTGAAACTGAAGAGTGAAAGAGGGGTCACCTGGGAAGTGGACACACCTGACGAGGGGACAGTTGGGGACGGGGTCATGTCAGGACACTGGAACGGAGGATGTTTGAAGCGCATGGGTCGGGTTTTCTCTGGAAACGTCTGTGAAAGTGAAATAAAGCATAATGGCATACGTTCTCCGCTCTTTTAAATAATAAGGCCTCTGTCCTCCGGATCTTTTAGCTTTAAATGCCAATTTAACTACATCATCATCATCATCATCAATTCAGGAGCTGGTTTTAACATTTGTTTTGTTGTGCATTCGCCATACTTTATCAGAGCATACTTTTAGGTGCATCTCAGTAAATTAGATCATCAAAAAAACACAAAAAGGGAAACTCAAATATATACAGACTCGCCTACAGTGTGATATACTTCTGTTTATTTCTCAAGGTTAGAGCTAATGAAACCTTCTGATTCAGTTTCATAGAAATTCAAATATTATCTGGGACTAATTAAAAAAAGGTTTTTTTTATTTCAAACATATCCACTTATAGCACATTAACTTCTCTGATGTATGTACTCATTCCCTGCCTTGAGAACCTTTTACATGAATTACTGCATTAAAAGTGTTAGTAAATTAAGTTAACCAGCCTGAGGTGCTGCTGAGGTTTTTTTGATTTTATAGTAAGCAGCAAAATAAATTTTAATTAATAGCACCTTTAACACAGGAAATCACAATGTGCTTCAGAAACCACAAGACATGATTTTAAATTACTGTTAGTTTATAAATCAGTGGGGTACCACTACCAGCCTACCACCTGGAATGATTTATAGATTAAAAAAAAAACAGATGACAAAACCTTTGATTTCTAATAAGCAGTTATGTTTTTGATGTTCCCAACAGCCTTTTGTTGGCCGGTTTTAAAAGGAGCGCTAAACGGTATGTATACCTTATTGAGGTCCTCGTCACTGTAGTGTCGTATCCCCTCGTGAAACTCCCCCCACCAGTCGTCGCCTTTGAAACAAATTGAAATCCTTCGTCTCTAAAATGTGCACAATGTCTCTCAATACAGATTTAAAACATTTCCGAAACATCCCCAAAGACATCAGTTAATGAAATCCTACATGTAACTCTTGTGCTTCTTTCTTAACTGACAAAAAAAAAAAAAAAAAATTTGAATTTTTTTTTAAAAAGTTTGCTACAATAGCAAAAAAAAAAAAAACTATACCCCTGCTTGTTCTAGCACTTACCTTTGACAGAGCAGGACAGGAGCGCACATGCCACGGCGATCAAAAGCGCCTCCATAGCAGTGCATATGCACCAGACAATAGGTCACCTCTACACACAGCACAATGTGATGCTCTGTTTTTACAGCTCTGTCACGTTGTGTCAACGCCACCAATACAGACTGAGGGACCAATGAGAAAGTCTGGACCAGAATAATGTATTTATAAATGGTCTGTAATTTTTTTTTTCTTTTTTTAATTGAGAGGGAAAGCTTTCATATGGTGACATAAACTCATCTAGACTGAGATAAAGGCCTTAGGAGAGAATTATGAAAAATTCACATTTTGAACATTTTTATACTTCCAGTTGTGTCACAACTGCTTCTAAAAACAACCAAAGAGCTTTAAAAAAAAAAAACCCAAACAACAGTTTTTTGGCAATAAGTTCATGTTTTTCGGTGTCTGGGAAAAGAGCCGTTTCAAAAAGCTCTCAGGCACTGCGCCGTTACCTAGCAACTCACCTAGCAACCCCACCCATAGATCTATTCTAATCTGTTCTAGGAAGCACAATAGTTTACCTTTAAGAAGACTTTTCATCCGTTCTGAGACGTTTAATGTTTGTAGACGATTCTTAACTCGTCCCTTTTCTAATTGCTTAGTAGAAATTTGAGACCAAAACCCGACAGGGATTACGTCAATAACAAACAGTTAAATATCCATAATAATTTATTAACTCATGTCTAAACCTGTTCTTGTGATGGTAAAAATTTATTTTTTCCTCCACCAAATGTGACTTGCCCTGCTGGTGAATCCTGTAAACCTTCCTGTCCTAAAGCGTGTCACAGCAGCTTTGTTTCTCAACATAACACGGGCACAGAAAGTAGGAGGAATGTGTTAAAATCTTGTTTGAAGGTATAATCTAATTTTTGGTTCGTGCTTGACAGAGAGCCGATTTGAAGTGTTGGCTTAAAACACTTTTAAAGAAAACAAAAATACAGGAAATGGAAAAAAAAAGAATTAAAATAAAACAGAATATAATTGATAGTTGTAGTTTTTCCTCTTATTACTGCCCGAGGAGACGTACATGATATCAACAAAACAAAAAAACCCACAATAAATAACAAAAAGACACTAAACTGTAGTTTGGCATGTTTTCGACTTGCCATTTAATATGAATTTAAAAACCTATTTTTGCATCATTTTTTTATAGAACAAAAATCTCCCACAAAATGTTTCTAATAGGATCTTATTTTGATGGAAGCCTGTTTTTTTGTCATTGTTGACCAAATTCAAATGCTCCTCATTGTTGGAAGCCAAAGAGTCACTCTAGTACTTCTGCTTTTTAAAGACAATTGTCCAACATCCTTCTTGTTTCTCTAAAAATTATAATAATAATAATTAAAAAAAAGCAGATGGATTTTGTATATTATAGCATAGAAATTAAAACTTTATGGATTCCGGCAAAAATACTGAAAGAAATTTAGCTAGAATTAACTTACAACTGTTTAAAAAATTGCCTCAACCAAAAAAAAAAAAAATGAAGCAGAATCCTGTCTTTAGCAACTAAAACATTAAATAAGCTTCATTCACATTACGTTACCCTTTTAATTTTCTATTCCTGCTTTTATCTAGGATTGAAGCGGATCGACTCCTGGCGAAAAAACATTTGACAAAACAGGGACGTGTGAGAGGAAATGAAAGCAGAAATTAGAATCCTTCTAATCGGCGGACTTTAAAATGTTTTTAATCAGGAAACTGCAACGTATCTCCACGGTGAGGACATGGTTGCCTCTTGCAGAATCCCGAGTCACAGGAAAGAAAAAAACAAAAACAAAACAAAAGAGTCCTAGGTCCTGTGTTTGTTTCATCACTTCTCGAATGGAGAACTGAACAGTTTCAGCAGCCAATGAGAGTTTTCTACTAACGTGGAGGAGAGCAGGCAGTGGGAGACATGCTCAAAGCAGCAGGTTTTTAATCAGTTCTGCTCTCTTGTCTTTCCCTGGCCTCTCCTCACTGCTGCTGCTCCTCCTCCTGATGAGCCTCGCCTGCGGCGGGCGTCTCCTCCTGATCCTGAGGCTCTGCCTGAGCTTGCGGTTCCTCCTCCTCCTCCTCCTCCTGCTCCTGCTGCTGCTGCTGCTGCTGAGCGGGTCTGGGAGTGGGTGCTGGGGGGCGGGGCGCCACGATGATTTGATGCTGCCGCTGTCTATAGGCGATGACCGTGCCCAGCAGCAGCGCGATGACCGTCATGAGGTAGAGGTCCCACTCCGGGCCCAGAAGCTGGTCCAGGTCCACCTGAGCAATCAACTCCTTCAGCTTCCAGAGGTCAAAACCAAAACGGGAGCGGCAGGAGAGAGCGGGACAGACATAATTAAAATCATTTATCTCTCAAGATTCAGTGGAGTTAATGTTTCAGGGCTGAAGCACTTACATTAAGGTCCTGCAGGTACTGCAGAGTGTAAATCAAGCCCAGCTTGCACAGGGCCAGGAAAACTGGGACCTGGGCATCAGGACTGGCTTCTGCTGCCATGTCGTAGAAGCGCTTTGCTAAATGGATATCCTGCAGAAGAAAACAAAACAAAACAAAAAAAAAAACAAAAAACGTCCAGATTTCTAGTTTAGAAATCACACATTTGGTACCACTGATTTATGAATCTGTAAATATGGATACAAGTAAGTTGCTATTCTAGGTTCATATGTAGCGCAGACTCACCTGTTTGATACCCAGACCTTTCTCATGCATGTAACCCAGGTTGAACATGGCCTGGGCGCCGTTCTGCTGCTCTGATGCGAGCCTGTAGTGAATGACCGCCGTCTCATAATCCACATCCGTTCCATAGCCATAGAAGTGATAGTCGCCCAGTTTAATACGAGCCACAGTGTAACCTTTAAAGGAAAAGTCCACAAAAGTTTTTTTTTTTTTCTAGAGTCAAGAGGAAAACTTCTCATAATATCTGACATTCGTTCTGATTAACAAACGACAGAAAATCTGAAAATGTAAACAGAGTTGACACAGTCCACACCTTAATCAATGAAATTAGTTTCACATAAAATTTTTTTTTTTATTTAATTTTTAGGTTTGAGTCACACTTCAAGACAGCAGATAAAACCGTCATTGGAGAGTCCAGTGTCTGCAGTTTCTTTTTTTGTGTTATTACATTTTTTTATTGTTTCTCATTTCTATTTGGATTAGTAAGGCCACAACTGATTTTAAGGTCGCTGGAACATAAAACAGCGACTGTTTTATGTTACAGTCTTGTAGCAATTATGAAATGTTTGTTCAGACTGATACATGACTGTATCTTCACAGCGCAAAATCTAAATAAAAATATTTTTGGGGGGGAATTGAGTATTTAATTTCTTAAACATTGTGAATTCAAGCAGAAGTTTTAAAGATAGGAGACGATTAACTACTCTTAAACCTCCGTTTCTTCCAGCACGTAATGCAGCATAGCTTGTGTCACAGCATGAGTATAAAAAAAACCCTCCAAAATCTCAAAATAAAACTTAAAACATAAATTTATGATTCATGAATGAATAAGATAGCCTACCTTGTGCAGCGGCTCTTGTCCAGTGGAGTAAAGCACGAGGATAGGTCTCATTGTCGCTGAAGATTTTTGCTCCTTCTGTTTGGTAAAAATCCACACGGCAACAAAACGTCAACTTTGACTCGCCACCATCAGTTCAAAGGAATAGTCAGGCTATCCACAAACGCATCTTGGATTTCTTACTCTGGTCCAGAATGAAGGCTACGTTGCTCTGAGCCACTTCGTAGCCCTGCTCTGCCAGCAGCAGATACTGGACCAGCGCGGCGTCCGTCTCTCCCTCTTTGAAGCTGCCGTAGGCCGTCATCAGACGCTCCGACCAGCGGCCGCGCTCACACACGTTCTTAAAAAGCTGACAGCAGGAAGCGTGTGCACACACACACACACACACCACGTTACAATAGGACCATTTTAATTTCTGCATAAGCATTTGTAATAAGACCAGCAGCTAACCTCCACGGCAGTGTGGCAGGAGCGCATCACGCCGGTGCCGGTGGCGTGCATCTGGGCCAGGTTGTAGAAAGCCAGGATGTGGCCGGCCTGCGAGGCCAGGTTGAAGAATTTCAGCGCTTGTTTGTAATCACGCTTCACACCGATGCCATCTGCAATGAAGACAGACAGTCGTATATTGTTAAAAAAAAAAAAAAAAGACAACAAAAAAACAGAAAAACTAGAGAAATTGAATTATTTCCATCTTACTGTAATACATTGTTCCCAGCTGGAGTTGTCCATCCACCCAACCCTGCTCTGCTGCCTTCTGGAAGTATTTTAGAGCCAACTCATAGTTCTGAGAACAAAACGAAGAAATAATTAAAGTAGGTGCTGAAAATGTAAAAGCATAATTAAAAAAAAAACATCAGAAGTCAAGAAGAAATCACTTCAGAAATTTAGTAAAATGCATCTCTTACCACAGGAACTCCCCTTCCATATAAATAAGCCATCCCCAGTCCGCTCTGGCCCACTGGATTACCCTGAACAGTAAAGATGTCATTTCAAAACAAATATTCAGAACTCCCCATTAGATGTAGCCACTCAGAGCAAGTCAATTAAATATATATGCACTTAAAAATGTGTGTGGAGGCGAGTTTCGCGTTACCATATCAGAGGCCTTTTTGAAGTACTGCAGAGCTGTCTCATTGTCCTGAGGGAGAAACTCGCTGCCTTCTGAGTACATCTGAGGGGGAAAGATTCAAACAAATAAAATAATAAGACAAAAAAAAAAAAAGTTATTTATGCATAAATGCCTGTGTCAAAACAGTGGTACAAAACTACTGGCTAACACAGCTCTAGAGTTATTGTCAATCTGCACAACAATTTGAGAGAGTGTTCAAGACATTGAAATTAAAAACAGCATTAAAGAGGAGATAAACCGTCGGTAAATAATTTGACTGAATCTATCCAACCTTTCCAAGGAAAGCCATGGCATGCGTGTTCCCAGCATTCGCAGCCTGTGTGAAGTAGTCATACGCCCTCTGTTGGTGAGGAGGAAGCAAAGACGTGCTAAATAGAGGGGAAAAACAGCTGCGGTACGGAATCGTTGGTGGTTTAATGTTACCTGGTGATTCTGCTCCACTCCGCGTCCACCATGTAGATGGAGCTGACCTAAACCAACCTGGAAATGTAGATCAAAATTAATTATATTTCAAATAATTAAACGTGGAAGTAACGCCGAGATCAACTTTCTGATCAATACCGACTCACTGTCGGATGCAGAGGTTTAGATATTAATTTGCCGTTTGTTTGTTTTTTGTTTTTTCGGTGCTTTGCTAAAGTACGCATAACCCGCTAAATCTTTTCACATATTTGTGGCTGGAAAGAGCCTCAAACTAAAGCGAAACACACCTGAGCTTGAACATCTCCTTTCTCTGCCAAAAACTGGTAGTACTGGATGAGGTCTTCCTCCAGCATCCCACTGGTGGAGCCCGGGTTCTCCACCTCATCCAGCAGCCGGATCCTCTGCACTGCCGAGCCTCCCGTCAGCGACACGTCACTCGCCACTAGGGGAGCCACGAGGCCGGAATACGGACGGAGCAGATTTAAAAGACGGTGAGTAAAAGAGCAAAAAGATCAAACAAAAAATAAATAAATAAAATAAAATGCTTACCGTGATTTGCCACCACTCTATAATGCGTTAGCGCTGACTCACAGCTCTGGGAAACGCCCACACCGGCCCAATACCTGTAACCCTAATCACAATGTAGAAAGATATT